GTTGCAGAAATCATGAAGAGCAGTACCGAGGCAACTCATTAAATGGTTCGGCAACTTGATCTTGCTGTCAGTGAGAACTCAACCTTCACCACCGCGCTAATGCCTCCAGTTAATCTTTTGAATGTCTCACTTGACAGCTTACTCTTCTCAATAAACTTTTACCATTACTTTGACTTTGGAAATTGAGAAGTTCAGCTCTACTCGTCATCCTTCCCCATTATTTGTCCTGATTACTAGAGGTTTCATGAAAGCTGAAGCAAAACATCGAATCTCAGTGTTCTGCTTTAGAATGAAGAAAAAGTTTCTTCTAAAGTTACCACGAAAGAGGTCTAAAACATTCCTAACGCTACAACCCCAATCTGCTGAGCCAAAGATTATCTTTCGAAAACCATAGAAGTGCCGAGATCGATGGTTTCCGGGCCAGGCACGAGATGGCTTCGAAAACGAAGATTACGTAGCAATATTTTATAATCTATATCGTTCATCTGTAAGCGTCTTGATAAGCATTGAAACAGAAGAGGAAGAAGACAAAGAGCATTCGGCTCTGCGCTCAAATTTTTGACGATGCTGCTTCGACGTGCGCCTCGGTGACTTGGGAAGAACGTCCGTTGCGCGCGTCCTTTGAAAGTAGGTCGCCCCGCCCACTTCGTGCGCGGCGCACCCCACTGAGATGTCGAGGTGACATTACAGAACCACCAAGTGACAGTGGAGCGAACGATTTGCATTTGTCCGTATTATCTTCTCTCTGAACTGACTGCCGTAGACCAAGCGCAAATTGTATGCCCCACAGACAGCTGCGACAACCATCAAGTGACGCGGGCTGACCTGCCGCATGCGACGGCTGCGGCGTGACCTAGTTTTGACTGACGCGCGCAACGAAGCGCACCCGTGACTTGGACACTAATATAGCAGGATTAGCAGTCAGCTTCATTCAACACGTTGTGGGAAAGACCACGATCGAAGTTTTTAGATACGTGTAAAAACAAAAGGGAATTCAGAGTACTGAGCTCTGCCAACGAACGATGACCAGGAACGCCGTGGCCTACGCCCAGGAATTGTAAATCAAGTAGGCTGGGCACGTTATGCGTTATAGTGGTGGCCGTTAGAATCAGGGTGGTTACTGAATGAATAGTGTGGACGTGAAACTAACGCCAAGACGGCTCCCACCCTGATGGTCAGACTTCATCGCGGAAGCTATGCCTCGTGTCCCTCGAGTGAGGACGATCCATAGACTACCCCGGCTCGCAACAGAGACGGAAGATAGAAGATACTTTACAGTTGCCAGCTTCCCGAAATCGATGAAGCAAAAGGACTATGTGTGATTCAGGTGACGCTGCTCTACTAATATGGGAAAAGCATATGTTGGCAAACACACTTTTTACTCGACAGTATTCGGCTGCTTGATCAGATGAATCATACTGCACAAAAGAGAAAATGTAAGAGGGCGTTTGTAGAGTTTTTTTTTTAATCGCTTCGATTTTAAAGAAAAAGGCGGTCTGATAAGTAAGGTACAGAACACCGACCAGGACAACTTATTAAAAAGGAAATCGCAAAATTCTTGTGAAGCATAGTTATTCACTGTTAGATTTGGAGTGAGTAACACATCTGGACGTCACCTTCATTGGAAAATACTCCACTGAGTTCTGAGCCATTCGAAACACTACTTTCCAAACCCTAGCAAGGATTTTCCTGATATGGTTTTTTGGAGTAGGTGAAGCCAGATGTTTCTCAAGGTGGTTAGATTCGATGAAAGCGGAAATCAAAATCGTCAGCTCAAAATCGCGGGGTGCCTTTGCTTGAAGACTTAATTGGCATGCTTACCCCATTACTTTCCCAATCATTAGGAGCTGCAACTTTGGGGTCGTCGAAATTGCACAGCCTAGAA